AGTGTCCATTGTGGATGTGACACTGTGTGTTTAAACATTCACCCATTGGAGACCATCTAGGTTGTTTCCAGATTTTAGCTTATATTAACAAAGCTGCTGTAAACACTCAGATGCAGGTTCTTATGTAGGCCAGCCTTCATTACTCTGGGGTAAATTTCTAATAGTATAAGTTGTTGGACTGTAGAATAGTCCTATGTTAAAATTTTTTAAAAGAAATTGCCACACTATATTTCATAGTGTCTCTACCATTTTATATTCTCATGTAAACAATATATTCCTGGTGCAATTTTTAATATTCTCATAAGCATTTGGTATTATCATGGGGAGAGGGAGGAGGGGCTTTCTGATGGGTATGTAGTGAGATCTTACTCTTTTTTCATTTGCATTTTCCTAATGACTAATGATACTGAACATCTTTCATATACTTATTTGCCATTTATATATCCTATTCAGTGAAATGTCTCTTCATGATTTTTTTTCCCATTTTCTATTTGGATTGCTTTTTACTGTTGAGTTTTGACAGTTCTTTTTATATAATCTAGATATACCAGCCCTTTATTGAATATGCAGCTTATATATATTTTTCCCCACTACAGATTAATTTTTTCATTCTGCTTAACAAGACTTTTTTTTGGTAGAGATAAGTTTCAAATATTTATGAATTCCAAGTCTATCTACTAGTTTTCTTAAAAGTATTATAGCTTCAAATTTTACATTTAAGTCTATGAACCATTTTGAGTTAATTTTTGTTTAATTTGTCAGATATTTTAAAATTATTATTTTCTCCATGTTGACTTCTGTTATCCTGTTCATTCATTTTGAGACTTTCCTGGTTCTTGGTGTAATGAGTGATTTTCTTTTGAAAACTGGGCATTTTTCTATTATAAAACACTGGCTGACAATTAAGCCTGTTTTTGGCTGGCTTCATGTAAAACTACTAGGCAGATAAAAGACAAGGGTGCCAACTTATTAGCAAATAGATGTAGAAGTCTGACCTCTACATTTTCTCTTCTACCTCCTTCTCTCCCTCTTCCTCCAAGAGATATTTAAAATTCACTGTCAGCAACTTTAAATATGTAGATATTTGGTTTTCTCTGACATCAATCTGGGGAGAACCTTGGGGTGCTTCACAGCCTTGTGAGCATGGAAGTTTCGGTTTTTGTCTTGCTAATCTACCTCAGTCCTTTGGGGTTTTCTGTTTGTTTGTTTATTTGTTTTGTTTGCTTTTGTTTTTCACCAAAGACAGTAGACTTTTGTTGGCGATATTTTGTTGTCTGCAGTTTTTGACATTTCTGGATGGCCAGAGAACTCCTCAACACGTTCTTCTGCAGGTCCCAAGGTCCCTAGCCAGTCTGCTCTCTTCTCTCCATCTTGTAGACTCTTCTGTTTATTTCATATACAATATCAAGGCATCTAAAGTTGTACTTAGCAGGAAAAATAGGTTAAACTGTATCTACTTCAAAAAAAGGTGTGTCTACTTCCCCAAACCCAAAAAACTGAAGAAAGTCTCCTTTGTTGTGGTTTTATGGCAACATTTTCACTGCTTCCTGGCAATGCAATTCTAAAATAATGACCCAGCCAACAAAATCATAGCAATTACTGGATGTGGTTGAAGATTGCTTGGGGTCAAAATCTAAAGCACTTTTTCAAACAGTTTTGTATCCATAGACAGAGTTGTCCCTGCTAAATCTCTCCGAGATATGCATGGCCTTTAGACTTACACAATGTAATAATCAATGTGAATTAAGAAACTTGGAGAAGACCATGAATCATGTTTGCAGCTGGCTTTGGGTGTGGGTCAGATAAGGTGATTGCCCAGAATCCTCACTATTAGGATGATCTCTAAAAGAGAACCTTTCCCACCTAGCTATATTATACCCCTTGCTATATGAAAAAGCAAACTGGCAAGATATGTGGAATGGAATTTTCTAGGAAACATGCATATAAACTTTTTAGCACCTTTGATTTTATGCTTCAGGACATTCTTTTGAGAGTTGTCAGGAAGAATTGGTTTGCATCCTACTCTGTCATTTGATTAAATGCATGCTGTTGGTCACCTTACCAAAATTCTATAAGCTTTTTATTTTGTCTTTAAAACAGCAAATAATTATACTTACCTCAAATGTAGTGTGAGGCTTTCATCAAACCTTTAAAAGTACGAAGCACTATCAATATATTTTATTATATATATATTATTTTAATTGTGGCAGCAGCCACAGTCACAGCAATATTATTACTACTGCAGAAGTAATCATTGTCTTTTTGTTGCTGTAATGAGTTCTGTGATGAGAAATATGTTCTGATCACACAGTCAGTTCTCTGGACATCAAAGGCCTATTTCATTATGCCATCATTTTCTCACAAAGAACAGTCTCTCTGAATAGAGAATCTTTACATGGCAGGCCTACATTTCATACTTTTCAGAAAAAGTACCCACAGTAAGTGGACATACTGGGGGTAAAAGCAGTTCCCACAGTGTGTGGTAAATTGTTCTCTGTAAATACCATGGCTGCTGCCCTGCCTCCCAGCTATGCCAGCAGAACTGGCTTCCACTATCATAATTCCAGATAACAGTAGCCTTATTTTTATTATTTAAAAGGATTGTACTTTTTGTTCTTCTAACCAACTGTTTTTTAAACTTTAAAATGTTCTCTCTAGCTGGGGGGAAATAAAGCACCATTGTAATCAGTTCCATTGAAAAATCTAATTGTGAATGGAAGCAGATTTTATAAGGCAGTCTATATGGCCATTTGCTCACACCTTCAAGTAATTGGACTTCAGAGTTCCTTATAATTTGTAAATGCTTCTTTGTACATAGTTCTGTTAAGTACAGAAGTACATAGTTGAGTTTATTGTGGAGGTGATTCAGCTCAGCATAGGCCATGTCTAAGACAGATACTCCAGGATATTTATCTAAAATCATCATACATTCTGGGCTTGTGGTTGGGGGAGGTAAAGGGATACATAAGAATTCTGTAAGAAATTTCTGTAAGGGGGAATATTGTATACAGATACAATGGAAGATTTCATGAAGAATGTTAATACAGCCACCTAATACTCTCGTTATTCACAATTATTGATAGAAATGCCCCTTATGCTTGATCTATACATGAAATGGATGCAAGTCACTGAAGCATATATTGTTTTAAAGGCAATTTGTTTGTTAAAACAAATTCTACACTGAAGTAAGTGAATCTTGGCCAGCAATGGTTTTCATTTCTTCTTTTTAACAAATTGTGACTGTAGAATTCTTATATTAGTACAATCTTAAAATAGCTCAAAAACAAAGAAAATTATGTCATTTCCAGGTCTGATTCTACTGACTGTTTTTTTCAACCTTTATATCATTTCCCTGGCTTCTTGGTATGCTTGGTAAGTTGTTATTAAATGCCAGGTACTCTGAATTTTACTTTGCTAGATTTACCTTGCTGGATTTTTTTTTTCCTAAAAATATCTTTGAACAAATGAAGTTAAATTTCCTGGAAAATGGTTTTTTCAGGACTTTCTTTAGAATTTTCTTAGGTAAGATCAAAGCTGTATATATTGTAGGTGTAATTTTCTCCACTACTGAGAAAAGATACTTTTTCATACTCATTTTTGCCCTGTTAAACGTGAGTTTTTTCCAGTTCTGTTAGTGAGATAAAGCATTATACCCAGACCTGTGTAGACACTCTACTGTTCTCTCAATCCTTCCTGATAGTTTTTTTTTTTCTAACCTTGAGTTGTTTCCTCACATACATACACTAAAATACCATTAATTGTGCCCCTAAATTTTCTTTGTCTTGTATTAAGTATCAGGATTTCCTTTCTTCATTAACAAATAGGTTGAGTTTAGAGAATTTCTATTAGCCCATACTAACTAGTACATAATTTTTGCTAAACAAAACAAATCTATGGATGCTATGTATTTTTTCTATTTCATTATTAATTCTTAACAATTGGAGTTTATAGAGATTAATTACAAAGTGTCTAAGCATAAAAGGATCACAAGAAACAAACTATTTTCTTTTTTTAAAAGAAAATTAAAATCAGTAGCCTGCAATGTATGGCTTTCTCTACACCCTGAAGGTAAGCAGACAGGCCATCTGATGAGTTAGAGCAGATCTCTGAATTCAGAAATGGAACATGAAGTCACAGAACTACGGAGTCAGAAGACCTAGAGTTAACTTTCACTTTATCACTGTGACTTTGGGCATCCTTTTAATCCACAGAATCTACATTTTGCCTTCTTTAAATGCATATTAAGCCACCTACCTCAGAGCATTGATAGGGGACTCAGGTGATACAATGAATGATAGCATAGGAAATGCTTGATAAATGACTGGGAGGCATTATTGCTTGTAAGTGTGTTGGAATTAGTTCCATAGTAAAAAGCTTCCATCCAAGTTAAAAAATGTCCAAATTTCATTATATATATATATATATATATATATATATATCAGTAAATGGTAATCATAAGAGGGAGAAATGCTTACTGATCTTAAGAATAATTTAGATTAAGAAGACTTAATAGCAATTATCCTGAGTCAGAAAGAGAAAGATTCGTAATGGATGGCTTCACTTGTAAGTTGAATACAGAGAAATCTAACAAAGGATCAAATTAGATAAACTTTAAAACTGACCCTTGTAAACTGACCATACAGCTTAAGTATGGGGGAGGGTTAGGGAGAGATTGGGATGGGAGAAAACCAGCAGGAAAGAGAGGACAATGGACTATGGTGGAGGCCTGTGGGTGCTTGTTGGTGGGAAACTTATGGTGACCACACCTGAGGAGAGAAATCCTATATTGTGGAGTGGAAGGGGGGGAAACAAGGTTGTAAAATGATGATGTCATTAATTACAAAGCTTTTTTTTTTTTTAAAGACTTCATAAGGTGAATTTGGATAATCACAGTTTTGTATGTGTGTGTATGTTCTTTTTGAAGACCATTCATGGTAAGTTACTGATATAATGTTATGTCCTTACTTAAAAATATGCTTGCTTGCTCTTTTTTCAACTAGGGGGAATTTGTTGCCTGTCTTCTGTCTCTCTTACGACAAATGACAGATAGACATTATCAACAGCTTCTTGATAGTTTCAATACAAAGGAAGAACTAAGGGTAAGTGACATTTTGAAAAAATTCTTTTAATGTATCTTTTTAATTTCTCTTGTCCTTATTCATCATTGTTCAGATAGCTCCTTGACACTTACTTTACCTGATTCCATTAATTTCTAAGCTGTTTTTTCTCATTTCAACCACTGATCTGCTCATCTATCTTGTTGCTTTAAGATTTCTGTTACTCAAGCAAAATAATCAGTTCTTACTTTGGACAAAGGGCATAAGATTTGAAACACCTGTCATCAAAGTTCAATAAATGATAAACAGAATAATCACTAATGAGATGGAAGCAAATAGACTTTAAGTGAACTTAGAAATGTTGCCTTAATAGAAGATAAAGAAGAATATATAGATATATTTGCTGATTTATTCCTGTAAAACTACAACTTTGGGTTACAGTATTCTGACTAGGGAACCAAAGTTGCATTTGATATTCTTTGTCAGCTATTGTCTAATCAATAAGCTGTGCTAGCCTGACAGGCTGACATTAAATAGAAAATATTGATGCTAGGTTTATAAAAATTCAATCTTTGCTGAGATTTAGGGAACTTTAATGCTTCCTTCATGGTGTTCACTGAAAGATTAGAAGTTGATTGTCCTCAATTGGAGGAATGAGCTGCCATCTCTCCTTATTTACTTTTATTTCTCTTCCATTTCTTCAGCTTTCCAAACAACTTGATATGTAAACCATCATAATGGAAGAGTGGCTTAGATGATGGACAGTGGAAAGTTATAGGACAATAGGAACAGTTATGCACAATGTTGGAATGATTGGTAGTCTTCCTGTGCCTCAGGGAAAGATGTGTAGACTTTTTTTATATTAGATGATGCATATGTGTCACTTATCTTTGACTTTCAACTGCCTAGAAGATTCTTTTTGACATCAGAAGAATCTCTTAGTGACCTTAGAGTGTTGACAGAGCTGAGTTATATTGAAATAAAGACTAGGTTTTGGCAGATGTCATCTATCTAGAAGCCAGTTGATTGACCTGTGCCCAAGCCTGAAAATACACTTCATGCTTACCTTCAATCTTGAGTTTAGAAGTAGTAGTAGAAAAAAGTTCTTAGAACTTTTATAACCACTCTACACACACAGAAATCCATGTGCTCAAAATGGAAGATAATGCCGGAGTTATTAACTTTTATCAGAAGTTGGCTGTTTAACACAATGGAGAAGCTGTTAGGTTTTACTTAAGAGGTCTATGACACCATCTTTCAAAATTATACATAGAAAAACAATATCTATGTTCACAGAGCCTGGGAATGAAAAAAATAGCAGAAAGGCATAAATTGAAAAACATGATCAATTTGATCCAGGTTTTGAACTTTATGCTTTAATAGTTATGGCAACAATGATAAGAAAAATAGAAGTAAGAAATAAATTAGTGTTTCTTGTGGCATATCCTCACTTTTTTCAGCCATACATAAACATAGATTTAATCCTTAAAAGAACCATGAGGGCATCCCCAATGGCCTAGGGGTTAAGTCTCATCACTGCCACTGCTGCAGTCTGAGTTCAATCCCTGGCCAGGGAGCTAATCCACAGATGGCACAGCAGACCTCTCCTGTCTTGCCTGTTGCTCCGCTTAGCAGTGTAGTTCAGTAAATCCACCTATTTTTCTCCCCACTCTGTGTCTCTGGTGAATCCTCTCACCCTCCGCACCCCTGCCCTACTTACACCAATCTTCTATAAAATAAATAAATATTTTTAAAAAAACCCATGAGGTGCAGGCACTATTGTTATTTTATTACAGATGACAGTTCTTTGATTCAGCAACATGTATTGAGCACCTTGGCTAGACATTAGACAGTAAACAATAAACAATATTAGTTAATGCCTTAATATTGTTTCATGTGCCCAAATCATTGAATTGTAAATATGGTGACATGTAAATGCAGCAGTAACAATGGCTAACAATTATTGGATACCTCCTCACTCCACCATCACAGCCAGTAGCCAGATTTGGTGCTTAACTCTTTACTGCAACATCTCATTTTACTCTTCCCCTACAGTATAAGATTAATGCTATTATTAGAATAAAATTCCCAAGTAATTGAGAGGGCTAAGCATTCTGTTAATACCGGAGCTCTTTGCTCAGGCAGCAAAACTCAGTCTTTCCTGAACCTTAATAAAATTTGCTAACCAAAATCTCTGATACCAAATTACATAAAATTTCATTTGTCAACTCTTTAAAAAGTAGTTCTACTCATCAAGTAGGGTTGTCAGAGAAAGCCCAGATGAGTAGAAGGAAATTCATATGGGAGATTCATATTTTTTATTTCTACATTTAGGTTAGAAATTGAATAAATAAGGAAATTATCAGTAAGGAAAGGGTACAACATTGCAGTGATATTTAATGGAAATTGATAACTGATATTGGGATTAGGCCTTAAACATCCCATATAACCCTACTGTTTTAAAATAAGAAAGTATTTGTCCCCCTATCCTCTACACACATATTCTAATCCCCAGAGGTGGTGACTGCTCTTACTTGGGGTATATCCATATAGACTGTTGTCTGTGCTACACACACACATTTTTTAAATGAATCAAGCTATTCATATCATGCAAAGATGTCATGGATATTCTATAGCCCAAACAACTGTCTTTCTTCTGACTCTCATTATATGATGACACCTAATTTTATTGTTCTCCTTCAGGTGGGCATTCAGACTGTTTCTGATTTTTGCCATTTAGAAGGGATACTGCAGTGAAAACCTTAGTACATTTATCTCTGCTATTGTGCCCTTGTTGCATTAGAATAAATTTCTGGAAATAGAACTGTTGAATCATGGGATGTATACATTTTAAATCTTAGTTGATACCAACAAGTTAAATATAGAGATTAAATTAATATTTTTACTTTTTATTCCTAGAAGAACTACTTTTTTTCTTTTGATTCATGCAAAACAATAACAACAACAACAAAAAATTTGGACTGCATTTCCCAGTGGATCTCTAAGTCAAAATGAATTTTGAAAATAAGTAGTTCTCAAGTATCTTCTAAGAGAAATGGTGTTTTAACTCCATTCTTGCCTGAAGAACCTGGAGTTCTCCAGGGTTACTTAGAATGGCTTCTAGCACTTTGAACAGTATTCTTTTCCTTGATCCCAGGTACTTGTGTGTGAGTGGTATGAGTCAGTGTCATAAGTGTGTAGGAGCGAGTCCCCGAGGGCTGCTACTCTGCATTGTTAGATTCTTCCCTTCTCTGGAACATAGCATTATTTTAGAAATGAACAAAAGCAAAAATCTAGCAAGTGACTAGGTTTTTTTCCCCTCCTTCTGCAGTCAGTAATGTTTTATTATACACCCACCTTCTCCTGGGAGCTAAGGTCTTGTCCATATCCTTGGTATAAAGAGCAGTAAGACTCCTGTTCTTTGTTGATTATGATTTTTCATATAGAACTGTGGGGCTCTTGCATGAGGTTTTACATGTTCTACGTTAAGTATGGTACTGTTATAACACTTTATTGTTTTCCACTAGCTTTCAAAAATTGTATCTGTGAAGTCTCAATCCAACTTTAAAACTCTGAGGACTTTATATTACCTATAGGATGAAGTCCAATCTCTTTGCCAAGCTTCCTTACCTTAAGCTGCCCAGAAAGTAAATTCATGTTTGCCTACAAATGCCTCTTGACAATAATTTCTTTAATCTACCTCCTTTCTCCATTGACCTCCACCCCCTCCAAAACACCTTTCACTCCAGCCACTTAAAATTATTTGTATATTCCTAATAATCCATATGTATGATTTTTAATTCTCCTGTACCTTTTTTTAATGTCTGAAATGCCTATTCTACCACCACCTCACTTTCGTTGCCTAATTTCAGTGCATACATAAAATCCACCTCAAGTACCACTTCCCTCATGAAGCCTTCAGAGAATATGGTCCCCCCCCTCTGTGATTGCACACAACAATGCATTGTGATTTTTTTCCTTATATTCTTCAAGACTGTGAGCTTCGTGAGCATAGGGACCATGTCTTTATGTCCTAAGCACAGATCCTGGAACATGAAATCTTTGTCAAATGAATTGACCCCCCTAATATCTGCCTCTTTCGCAAGCATCATTTCAACTTGTAGTGTTTATTTTATTACAGAAAAATAGTTCCATAGTTCTCAAAGGCTGAATACCATTTGGGAGTTATTTCTGCATAATGTACTTAAATATTGAATTTTAAAACTATGGATTTCAATGTGATAATGATTATTAACACCCTTTAATTGAATTCAAACCCCCTATCAAGAGAATTACACATTTGGAATTTGTGACAAATTTTTTTAAAAGAGCTTTTGACTATAATTTGAATCCTAAGTTAAGGAAATGTGTTCCTACAAGGCTCTGTCCCATTCATTGCTCTTGGCATAAGGAGACCATATCCTGGCCCACCTGCTTCGGCATGCTTTCTTTTCTGGATGACTTAGCTATGTTTCACAATCTCAGAATTCCTTCTTCATGCCTCACCAGTTCTGTTCCATTAGCCTAATCTCTATCTGATGCCATTTTGATATCACAGTGTCATGGGTAAATGTAAAGCAGTATTTTATGCAATATAGTAGTAAAATCTTCATAAAATATGGATGTAATCCTCTCACACATCTGTATAAAACTCTTCATTGTGTCCACATTGCCCTTGGGATAAATTTCCAAACTTGTTATCATGGAAAAGGTATGAGATAAATGAGATTGGCTTTCATTTATCCCTATTCATTTATCTTTTATTTTATTAATTTATCTTATTTCATCTATCTATTGTCATTTATTTATCTCTGTTTATCTTCCAGCCCCATTTCTTGCCACTCCCTTGTCCAATTCCAGCAGCCCTGTGGCTGCTGTTGCCCTGAGACTGTCAGGTGCTCTTCCATCTGAGTGGAATACCTGGCCTTCAGGCTTACCCTGGTTTATAATGCATGCGTATTGTATCTGTTTGGTTTTAGATTAACATTTATCTCTCCCACCAAACTGAGCTCCATGAGCAAAGATCACATTCAGCTCACTTCCTGTAGTCTGATGTGTTGCAGGCCCTCCATAAATATTTCTTGATGAATAAATAAAAGAATATATCCTACCCCAGTAGGTGTCCCCAGCATCAAACACAGTGCCTGGCACATAGGAAAGTACCCAATATTTGTGAATGAGTATTAGTGATAATTTCTGAAGTCATAACAATTGTTCTTGCTTTCTATTTCAGTATGGAACTTTTTGTTGTTTTGGAGGTTTTCCCATGAACTTTCCCATTTGAACCTCTTGCACTGCAGAGAAAGTGCTCCTGTGAAGTAGTACCTACCTGTTTTTTATTTTCATTTTGATTAACCACCAGCAATATAGTTCAGTTGCCAAGTTGTGCTACTTGAGAAAAACATGTGGAAAAATAAAATGCTCCCTGCAACCAATATGAAAATGGTGGCATATGAAATCCATTCCTATGTGCTAGGAAACAGGAAGGATGTTCATTATAGTGATGTTCTGTTTTCTAATTATGAAAAATTTTTGTGCCTTTGTTATTATGTGTGTAAAATAATTTCATGTATCTACATAAAAGCAATATTTAGTGATCAGAGCTGCAAAGTACTTAGGACAGTTAATGAAATATCACTGCTGTGGAGAAAAGGAAGATGTTAAAGAATATAGCATTCAGATCTTAGTGCTTTAAAATATTGGAACTGCATTTAAAACGAAACCTGTTGCGTGACAGTTGGCAATAAAAACTTGCTGAACTAAACTGCATTTAAGTACCACCATGGAAGTTGTTTGTGTTACCATCTGATGAAACATTATCCTGCAATTTAGAAATAAGAAACAATTAATTGTGCCATTTGATTTGGTAAGTGATCATATCACCTTTTCCAAATCTCCTCTGACTACATTTGCCAGTGTGAGACTCAGTTGCAGAGTGGTTAAATTGCCAAGGTCATTGAGCTAGTTAATCATAGAGCCAGGATTAAAATCTAGGTTTTTTAAATCTCAGGAACAGTGTTCTTTTATTTTTTTTTTAAGGTTTCTATAAATGAATGGGTTTGGGCCAATAAAGACAGTTGAAGCTTAAATGAATTTCTTAGAAAGGTACTTAAGACTGAAAAGTTTCCTTAGGCACAATGTCACTGCAGTCACAACTTTTATTTTGTGAGATAAATGGGAATAGGGAAACAAGATGGCATAGAAATAGGTTCTCTAGCCTCAAGCCTGCACATGAAATGACTTTTCCTTGTCCCCAGAACTGTAAAAGAACAGCCACAGTTGCTAGACTTAGCGATAAATATCTTACTGCCTGTAGCCAATCCTTCTGTGCAACTTTTTCTCTGTGCAACTAATTTCACACTCACCTACCCCACCCCAAAACCCCCATTACAAAGGGTGCTGCCTCCAATTTTAAATTCTCTTTAAATTTTTGAGGAGAACAAACAAAGCTTCAGTATGTCCAATTTATTTGAAGTTTTTTAAAGTAATTGTAGACTATGAGAAACAAGTAACTCTCCTACTTTAATAACTTTTTAAAAATATCCAAGTAAATTCAACAAGACAACAATCAGAAGTAGAGTACAATTCTGAAAGGTAAAGAGAGACTGGTTTTTACAGAGACTATATGTTTTCATGTGTTGGAAATTCAAAAGAATCAAATGAAAGCCCATTTAGAATAAGTTCTACAATTGCATGGTGAAGGGTTTTAGTTTATGAATGATCTGCTATCCCAAGAGTAGGCTAGAATATGAGGTGTTTCCCCAAATTAACTGCCCTGAAGTGGAATACATTGGGAAATCCTGGTGGTTCTGCAGACATGGCAGGATCTGTCTGATCATTTAAAAGCAGTTGACCTAGAGGCACATCTCCACATGGCATATACTACATATCAGCATATGTGTGTTGATGCCAAAGAAGCTAAAATAAATCTTTGTCAAAATACTTATGGGCTTGATCATAACTGTTAGAATATGTTTGTTTGTTTAAAAGCTTCCAAATGGTTCTGCAGTTTTTAGATTCTCTCTTTTGATGGTATGAATAGCAACCTTAATCTTAGATTCAAGTAGCTTCATGTTTGACAAAATGCGTTGTTAGTTGTGATAAATAAAGCTCTTGTGTCTTGTGGGGGGGTACTTCTTAAAGCAACCACACTATTGCCTTCAATCAGATTGTTACAGAGATATGTTTTCCTACTAGCACTTAAGGTTACAAGAATCTTTGTCTTTTAATTAATCTAAATCAAAGCCACATTGAGTCAGTCTCTTGTTGAGCAGCGCAAGCTCCATTTTCTTCCTCACCTGTGGTATGTTATCACCTTGATAACCTTTAAGTATAATGTGCTACAGTGTTTTGGACTCTATCTCTTGTAATTTTTATAGAATTATTTCCTTGTCTGACAATAGCATCTTGTCTTACCAAGTGCATTTTCAAGTGATCCAATAAAAGTAACATCTCAATAAAACCACTGCCCTCTGGCATGACACCTCTGTGATAAATACCTTGATATTCTCATAGCTAATAAGCACTTATCACTGGGCTCAGCTTCGCACACACCATTATTTGGATACATTCTGTGTAGCACATTTAGGATGATTCACTAAGATCCATAAACTGCATGTCTCCCTTAATAATCTGTCTTCAGAATGTGCTCTAATGGGTTTTACTTATGATGCTTTTTAATGAACATAGCTTTCTAAATTTTGACACTTAAGGAAAACAGAACTGAGCCAGGGATGCTTACAATTCTCTTGAATTGAAAAGTTCTGATGTTTAGGACATTATAATAGAAGAAATCTTCTATTACCAGCTTTCCATTTTACTTCTAAAATCTAAATTTTAGAACTTTAAAGAGAAATGAAAAGTTATTTCCACTGTGCATTAAAAAAAAGGGGGGGGGACATTTGGGACGATTCACAGGCCAATTGAATGCTGAGAATGGCAAGAGTAAATTTTTGAAAGTATGGGTCCCTTCTCCATAATTGCTTTGGAAATGGTAACAACAGCATTGTGTGTGCGTGGTGTACAGTTATAATCAGTTAGTGAAATGGCCTATTTTCTCTTTTTTTAAAGGATTTCCTGCTGCAGATATTTACTGTGTTCCGAATACTTATACGCCCAGAAATGTTTCCAAAGGACTGGACTGTTATGCGCTTGGTAGCTAACAAGTAAGACATTTAAATTGATGATAATTGCTTCATTGTGTAGGTGGAAAGGAGAGTATGAAATGATTGTTTAGTTTAATCTCAAATTTGCAATCTCTTTGTCTGTGAATTACGTTCTCTCACTTTTTTTAATTACTATTTATTTTGAGTAGATGATATATTAAAACAGTTACAAGTTCAAACAGAATTACAGTATATGCTATGAGAGTTGCACTCCTACCCTCCTTGTTTCTCCTCTGCTCCCAGCCTGTCTTAACCAATTTTGTTATTTCTTGCATGCTCTTCCTGTGTTCCTTCATGAAGAGTCTAGCAGATAGAGTAATATATACAGTGTTCAACATGTTTCTCTTTCACTTAAAAATGCCAGCAGTCTTTCCATTAATATCTAGAGAGCTCTTCATTTTATTTCTTTACAGATATATAATATTCCATTAAATGGACCTACCATGGCTTATTTAACCAGCCCTCTTGCTAGACACTTCAGTCTTTTCTGATCTTTCTTAGTTCAGTTTAATTCATCAAAATGCACTAAATATATATCATTTACATAGGCTCCCATTCAAATTATGAAAGCATATGAGATATTTTCTGCTTTATAAATGAAATAAAGTTCAGAAATAAACCTTCAACTATTTGTACTTTATCTCTGGGAAAAAAAAAAAAACCCACCACCATAAAACCTGGGAATAAAGCACTGGGAGTAAAATACAACTCTTGAATTGGATACTCAAGATTGAAGTTCCTTTTATACATCTAAATTGTATGACCAGTAGAGAATTGAAAATAGTGCTCTGACAAAAGTTTAAAATTAGATACAGACATTTAGGAAGTTACTGACATAAAGTTGAATCTCTGAGAATTGATAAAGATTAATTTGTATGAAACATCTCTAGTAAAAAATAAAATGACCTGAAGTCAATGTTTGGAGAAATTAGAGCCAGAAAAGTAAATTGGGTAAGTCAGGAAGGCAGCAGCTATTTCTGGAGAGTTCTGTGCCAGGGGTTTGTCTGCTCTCTGACTTCCTATCTCTGCCATCTCAGGATACAGAATGAAGATGAAGTTCCTTGGGAAACTGGCCAAATCTTTACTTCCACACTTGTAATTTACCCTATTTCATAAACATTCTTTCTTTAGCCCATATTTGTCTGCTTATCCTTCATCTTCTTCTTCAATCCCCTGTACCCTCCTTCAGGGCAAAGGTTGGATTCTCTAAGCATCTATCCATAGACCAGGGATGCCTATCCCCCAAATGCCCAGGTATGATGTGGGTAAGAGACCCAGGAACATAGGATTTAATTTTGATTAGCTATGCCTGATATGGCTTCTGCTACAGCATGCATTTATAGACATGGAGGTGTTAAAGGATGTGTTAAAATTTTGTGAAGTAACAAATAGTATAATGTGGCATATTATATTTTACATAAGTAGAGAAGCAGCTTTTCCATTTTGAAGGCTAATTGAGACTACTGAAATAGCTCTCTTCAGAATTTAGCATAATTAGTTTGATATCTGTGAACAGAATCAAATATCTCTTCATCTGGATGTCCGGATGGTAAAGATTTATGTGGGAGCTGTTGGTCACATATCTGGCCTTTTTACCAAGATCAACCGTTCTGAATACCTAGAACTATGAAGTAACCCAGAGGCCAGATGGGGAGGGGTTCAGGCTGCTGATTGTCATCACAAAGCATCATCATTCGGTCATTCTGCCTGCCCCATATGTAGAAGAATATTTTGTCTTGAATTAGAATTTTCAGTGGCAGAAATTCAAACCAAAAGAAAATTTGACATTTTCTTCCTTACGTGCAACAGGCTCTGCTTGAGCTTCCTGACACCATGACAACCATTGACTTTTTGATATTCAATGCCACCTCTTTGCCCCACCTAGAAATCTCTTCTCCATTTATGAAGACTTCATGGTCACATGAGTGGATAGCAGACTTAAAAATATATATTCTGCTTTGGATTAATCACATGACATTTAAGATTTTCATAAATGGTCTTAACAAATAGGAACATGATTTTGTTAGAGATGAGCTCTGTGTAATACTTTTAAACAGAAGTTTCCCATTACAAACCCAAGAAAAAGGCCATCACTCTGTGCTAATGCAATAGTATCATTCCACTGGCACCCAAGTCAGTGCTGCTAGGAATCTGGCACTGCCTTTCCACTGGCAATGGCTGGCAGAGGCAAGTCAAAGCTGATTCCTAGATGGAACTCCAGGGCTGGCGAAACACCTGCCAAGATGGGATAGACCACCTGCCCTGTGCAATTCGCTTCCCTCCCCTTCTTCTTTACTCTTCAGTTAGTGCCTAGTCGTTTCCCATTGGAATTACAAAAGCTTCTGAGATTTCTCTTACAATAAAGTTCAGAAAATAGGCCTTCAACTATGTGTGCTTTATCTCTTAAAAAATTTACCTTTATGATATTAGTAGAAAAATTAATTTCTGAAAGATCTTAAGGTATTTGAGAGCATACGTTGGAACAAAAATTTCTACTTTGCTGATCTGTGGAAAAGCAAGTTATGGGAACTGAATCTGTTGCTTTGAAGTTGACCAGTTTTTCTTCCATGACACTAACCTTCTTAGACAAATATTTGATTAGGGCTCTTCAAAGAGGCATTTAAACCAAACTTCCACTTATAATATCCACTTTATGTGCTTTGTACTTGTTGAATTGACAATAATTAGCTGAGAAATCACCTTTGTTCTACCCTTGAGCTCAACTACATAGATCATCACATAGAATATATTTTCTCTTATGTTTGGGGTTTTTCTTCCTATGTTTCCAAGTAAGTTACATGCCTTTAACTTCCATCCAAATCCGGACCTTCTCTGCTTTATGTGAAGTTCTGCCAAAAGCTGTGACCAGATTCCTGGTGATAATATGGTTTTTATTTATTTCCACCTGAATGTCTGATATTGTAACATAGTAATTCTAGACTAAATTTGTCAAGGTAAGAAGTGTGACTTCTCTTGCCTTCTTGCTCGCAAAACTATCTTGTGCCCACTATAAGTTCTTGGTAGATGTTTCTGATGAGGACAACTGCTCACTCTAAGAAAGAGGGAACATAAGGGAGATGAAAATTAAGTAACAAAAATATGGACACTTTGAGGCAAACATCTCTCCACCCTCTTCACTTACACATTGCAAAACAGTACAAAAATAAAGTCACAGTTTTTTACATATTTTCAAGGAGATAAATCTTTTAACAGACTTTCTCACTGAGCAAAGAAAAAAATTCCCTGCCCTCTGATTGAAATTTCAGGCACTAATTTTGTTTATCTGGTGTGCATGTTGCTTTCAAACATACACATTTTTTGTGTGTTTGTACCAAACACTGGATTGTTTCATTAGCTATTACCTTTACCCAGTGTAGCTTACAGATTTAATCTATATGTTAAATAAATGATTTACGGAATTAAAGATTCTTAGGGGAAGCCCTCCATTTATTCATTGACCCATCCATTCTATAAATATTTTTCAGTACATAATGTACAAAATAAAAGCTAAAAAAGAAAAAGAGCATGGTTCTGGGAAGATGCTTGTGAAAGACACTTTGTTCTAGAATGGATAGGAAGGATCGTTCATTAAGGAGTACAGCCTGAGCTGAAAGCTAAAGCAAGAGTTAACAGGCAGGAAAAGCATGTAAGAATCTTCTGTGGTCAGAGTACACATGGCACATTCAGAAACGAAAAGACTCTTAGTGTGGGGAAGTAAGAGGAGAGAAGGAATCAGTAAAGATGAGGTTGAATGAGAAAGAGAGGACCCGGGTATCAGAAAGCAGGGTGACAAAAGAGAAACCAGGCTTGCCTGTGCATCTCCTTATGAGTTGTAAGGAGTCAGTAAGAGAACAAATACATGAAGCAAAGGCTTCCATGTTTGAGCCTAACAGATCAACAGTGCGGTTATTGCCTCTACCAGTAATACCCAATAGAGTGGGCTAAGGGACTTTCAAAAACCCTTCTGTTTCAATCCTGTTCATTCTTTTTTATCTCACCATACTGCATGACTCCATGACTGAAAGAAACACATGTTTATCTGCTTCCCTTGTGACGAATGCTGTACCTCCCATTGGAGAACCTCTCTCATCAGCCTTGCCTAATTTCAGTCCTTTCTTCAGAATACTTTTTAAAAAGTGTAAAATGTCCACAAGCTTCACATTTTAGAATTATCCACTGCAGCAAATAAGTATAAAAAGCATAGTTGAGATATAATTGCAAGGTTAGTCATTCAACACTTACTGGACTTGGCTTAGAAGGCCAAATTCCCCAAATCTTCTTGGTCTCTAAATGGCAACCTTTGTCTCTCTTCCCTTCTCTCTGTAACACCTGTCCTCAAAATGGGAAGAATTTTGCACCAGAACCTCTTGACTGGGCACCATCATGACAAGCCTTTGGTGGTGGTGAGGCCCTGATGCCCTGTATACCCTCAGGTGATTCTCCTGCACTCTGAGGCTTGAGAACCAAGAGCTTATATATTTCCCTTGATGATCATCCAGCATTTCACCACCCTAAATGTCTTTGTGTTGGTCTCTTTCTGCTCCCAAGTAACCCACCAGCTTGGAGGAAAGTCATTGTACTCCAGGTTTAGAAATCCGTCATTGTTCAATGTGTAAATATCAGCTTTGTTGATTCACAAAGATATTTCTCTTGGTTCATGTATTATTTATGGAGATGGGCTCTTGCTTCAGCAGATTTGTCCTTTCAAAAGGACAAATTATAAAAGATGAGATTTCTATAGGGGAGAGCTAGCACTGCTTAAAAAAATAGTTTCTAAATGCCAGAATGAGGTGACAACTAGAAAACTTGAAGTGATAACTTTGATTTCCTGTGCACCAGTTCCCTTTTATATTATTGTGCTGTGCCATGGATTATGGCTGTGCAGTAGTGCTTGCGCCTGCTTTTCCATGGCAGATATCAGTCATTTGACCATTTGCATGAACAGATTGCAAACCTTTCTTGGCTATTGAGTGGAAACACTGAGATGTGAAATGTCCCCA